ATCTGTGGCTGACTCTGAGAAGAATGGGAACCCAGAACAATTGATCATGCTTATGTGAAACCTATACTTGGACCAGGAGGCAGTCGTCAGAACAGAGCAAGGAAACACTGCATGGTTCAAAATCCGGGAGGCTGGGCTCTATGAGGAGAAATGTTGCATTAGTGTTGGAGGAAGACTCATCAGCAATCTGTGTTATACAGATGATACAACCTCCTTGCTGAAACTGAGGAGGAACTGAAGCACTTGCTACAGAAGGTCAAAGACTACAGCCTTCAATAAGATTGAAGCTCAATATAAAGAAAACAAAGATTCTCACCACTGGACCAATTAGCAACGTCATGATGGATGGTGAAGAGATTGAGATTGGTAACAGCTTTAATTTGCTTGGCTCTATAGTAAACACTCTTGGCACTAGCAGCCATCCAGGAAATTAAAAGACAAAGATGTATTGTGAAGAGAAAGTCTGCTGTTTGAGACCTCTCCAAAGAACTGAAGAACAATTATGTCAGTCTGGAGACTAAGGGGCTACTGATACAGGCCATGTTCTCTGCAATCACTTGTTGTGCATCAGAGAACTGGACAGTGACTAAGGATGATAAAAGGAGAATTGATGCCTTTGATCTGTGGTGTTGGTTGCAACATGGACTTCTAAGAGAATGAACAGATTCGTCCTGGAGAGGGTTAAACCAGTCTCCTCCTTGGAGGCAAGGATTCTGAAACTTTGTCTGACATACTTTGGACATGTTGCAAGAAGGGACCAGTCTTTGCAAAAGGACATCAGGCTTGGGAGGGTGGAAGGAAAGCACAAGAGAGGAAGACCCTTATGAGATGGGTTGATTCAGTGACTGGGTTAATGAGGGGAGGTGTGTCAGAGAAAATAAGAATGGCACAGGATAGAGCAGGGTTTAGGGATGTTGTACATAGGGTCACTCTGAGTCACAGATGACTTGACAGCACATAATAATAACATGCTTAAATTATATATAAAATTATATAATAGTTAATATTTTTAAGTTAGCATAGCTTTATGTGTATTATGTGTTCAGGCTATATTTCACACATATATCAACTCCTTTCATTTTATTAACAACCCCATGAAGTGGGGACTACTAATCTTCCCATT